ATCAACCACCACCACCATCATCATCACCACCACCCAAACATCACTATCATCCCAAATGTAGACCAAACCAAACATCTCAACATAAGCCAAAATGACCATCCTCAACATCACAGCTTCGAAAACCAACCACCATCACCCTCATCACCACTATCCCAACACCATCACTACCATCTCATACACCAACCAACACCATCACTACCACTACCCTTAAGACCAGCCACCACCACCACCACCCTCAATACCACGATCACAACCACTACAACCACCCCCACCACCACAACAACAACACCACTACCACTAGCACCAGCCACCTGCCAGCACCTCTCACAAGACTGCAGGTGCACCCACCTTCTGTTACATTATGTTGAAGGCCGAGAGAATAATCTTATTGACTGAGCATCTTACCAACATCTCAATTCCTGAGGCAGTTGTGTGTGTGTGAGTTAATGGCAAAGTAAAGGCAGCAGCAGCTCTATGTTTGGGTAATGTTTGGATATATGCCTTATGCCTTTGAGAGCTGATGTATGTCAGCTTTGTTCTACTTCTCTCTAATACATTGTCTACAAAAATGTGTGTATTCGAGAAGAATATTTTTGTTTTCTCAGTCTGATGATTTTCGAAGCTATGACGCGAGACGATTTTTATTAATTTCCATTTACTGAAATTTTCCATTTGCTGAAATTGTCCATTTCCTGAAATTTTCGCATTTCCTGAAATTTTCCATTTCCTGAAATTTTCCATTTCCTGAAATGTTCCATTTCCTGAAATTTTCCATTTCCTGAAAATGTTCATTGTATAAAGGGCCCCTGTGGTAACATTTTATGTTGTATATTTACTCATGTGGGTGTTTTCTCTAGTGCCCCATGGGGCTTGGTGCTTTCTTTTCATAATTATTATTTGTTTTCCTGTAGCTGACTGAAGGAGGTTGTTCCTATCCTTGTGCAACGTCCTGCTGTCCCCTTGCACCCGTGATTCACTTTTATTGCGTATCTCCTTGATGGTCTCCCGTTCCCCCTGGGACCTGTTTTCATTATGTTGCTCTTGCTGGGTTTTTCCTGCAGCAGACGAGCTGTTCCCAGGGCTCAGCCAATGAGGGATACAGCAGCAGGAGCAGCAGCAGCAGGAGGAGGTGGATGAGGCTACTGCAACAGCAGGCAAAAACCTTCCTCCTCCTTCCTCCCCTGAAATAATTACTGCAATTATTCATGGCAACTTTCGCAACGCGACCGACCTGTGTCGCCATCTTTCCACTCTTATACGTGGCAACGTCTTGCAGGCACTCAACACACACCCTGTTCCCCCTTCCTTCCCTCCCGGCAAGTTGCAAATGTCTTGCAGGTGCTAATGTTTCAGTCAATACATTGCAACACCTCTCAGCACCCCCCCCCCCCCCGTTGCCCATTCTCTATTTTCTCTCTTAAGCTCCCTCTCTACTGCAATTTCATCCCTCATTCTTATCAATCCCACCATCTCTTTTCTTCTCTACTTTCGTCTGTCCTCCTCGAGGTCCTCTGTACCACAATATCATCTGTCTTCCTCCTCCTCACCAATCCCTGATACCTTTCAAATCTCCTTTCTCACCCTGTCTCTACATCCAAATCAACGTCCTCGTCCACCTATCCTTGCCTCCTTTCCTATCCCATCCCTTTCTCTTCTCTCCTCCATTCGTCCATCCCCCCTAACCCCCATTCTCTCTCCCAGCTCTCACCTCCTTAAGAGATTAATGGCCCCTCAGTTGAGATTTTCAGTTTTTCTGTCCAGTAGTCTCTGATAGTAATCACAGGGAACTAAGGGGTAGGAGCATAACTGTAATGCCTTTGTGGGAGTTTTGTTCCTATGTAGAGTCCTGGTGTTCCTATGTAGAGTCCTGTTGTTACTGTGTAGAGTCCTGGTGTTACTGTGTAGAGTCCTGGTGTTCCTATGTAGAGTCCTGTTGTTACTGTGTAGAGTCCTGTTGTTACTGTGTAGAGTCCTGGTGTTACTGTGTAGAGTCCTGTTGTTCCTATGTAGAATCCTGTTGTTCCTATGTAGAATCCTGTTGTTCCTATGTAGAGTCCTGTTGATGTCTCCTGACAGATTTCTACATGTGAATGTGATGTAAGGTTCGTGAGACATCACTGATTGTTCTTGTAGTTGATGTTGTTGAGGATAATGATTTTGGTGCTGTTGTTGCTTATATTGTAGAAGCCGAAGCTGTTGTTGCTTATATTGTAGAAGCCGAAGCTGTTGTTGCTTATATTGTAGAAGCCGAAGCTGTTGTTGCTTATATTGTAGAAGCCGAAGCTGTTGTTGCTTATATTGTAGAAGCCGAAGCTGTTGTTGCTTTTATTGTAGAAGCCGAAGCTGCTGTTGCTTATATTGTAGAAGCCGAAGCTGTTGTTGCTTTTATTGTAGAAGCCGAAGCTGTTGTTGCTTTTATTGTAGAAGCCGAAGCTGATGTTGCTTATATTGTAGAAGCCGAAGCTGTTGTTGCTTTTATTGTAGAAGCGAAGCTGCTGTTGCTTATATTGTAGAAGCCGAAGCTGTTTGTTGCTTTTATTGTAGAAGCCGAAGCTGTTGTTGCTTTTATTGTAGAAGCCGAAGCTGTTGTTGCTTTTATTGTAGAAGCCGAAGCTGTTGTTGCTTTAATTGTAGAAGCCGAAGCTGTTGTTGTTTATATTGTAGAAGCCGAAGCTGCTGTTGTAAATACTATTTTTTCTGAGTTGTGGAACTATTTCAGTGTGGGTAAACTACTTCCATGTAAAGTAACTATTCGACTGTTGAAGATCTACTTCAGTAGAGTGAAACAACTTCTAAATTCTGCATGTATTATGGAAAGTTTACCTTTCCTTGTTCGAAAAGAAGTTTACACTTTCGCACGAAAATAAAGAAAATATCTAAATTCCAAAGGTCACTTTGAAAAATTTAGTCTACGGGTCTGGCTTAGAGTGACGAAATAAAATGTTTTTTTTTCTGAACTCTTGTTTTTCTCCCTGTATCTTTGAGATCTTCTCCATTGTATCTGTAATATTTTTATTAGCAAAGTTTGTATTTTTTTAAATAAGTCACAGGATTTAACTCGTAATTTCATCTTCCTGAGAGTGTAATCATTCTAATACATGTTATAGCAGGGAGTATTAAGTAGTAATACCTTATCTCTGTAAGTCCTTCGAGAATCTGTAATAGAGTGCCTTGTGATCCCCCGAACATATATTCTGGACACAGCTGTAGCGTAAAGCTAGTGTTCAAAGGAGCATATTCTTACCTTCCATTCATCTGGGCCCTAGGAGATTATCTTGAGATGATTTCGGGGCTTTAGTGTCCCCGCGGCCCGGTCCTCGACCAGGCCTCCACCCCCAGGAAGCAGCCCGTGACAGCTGACTAACACCCAAGTACCTATTTTACTGCTAGGTAACAGGGGCATAGAGTGAAAGAATCTCTGCCCATTGTTTCTCGCCAGCGCCTAGGATCGAACCCAGGACCACAGGATCACAAGTCCAGCGTGCTGTCCGCTCGGCCGACCGGCTCCCTATCCTTGGAGACTCGAAGCATTTTAGGATATTCTTAGTTTCCTCCCCAACACCTCACCTCACCTACAAACTACAACAACAACCCTTCTTCTCCTGCTATCATCCACAACGTACAGCTTCCCACAACATTAGGGTTGTATACCTACCCGTCCTAACACCGTTCGTTAGACGCTGCATCACCTCTATACTGTCTGTTAACGCCAGAGTGAATCCCGTGTTCCACTTAGTTTACTGTGTTCGACCCCCCTCCCGTCTCACGTCCCCCCTATCCACTACCCCCCATCCACCCCTGCCAACCCCCTCCACCTCCTTTTGGCATCCTTACGCCTGAAGAAACGGTTTTATAAGCCATAGCTTTTCAGCACGTGTTGTATATTGCTTGTGGACGAGCGATAAAGAGCCTTATAGGCGGCTCTCGACGGTGTGTTGAATAAATCGTAAGTAGTGTTTGGAGCGAGAGCTGAAGAGGGAGGGAGGAGGAAGGGGGAAGGAAACAGGAGGGAAGAGGATGTTTGTGGAGTAGGATGGGAAAACACGATGGAATAGGGAAAAGGATTCAATTATTGTGGTTGAAGATGAGTATGAGGGAAAGTGTAAGAGAAGATTATTACATGTTTCTCTCTCTCTCTCTCTCTCTCTCTCTCTCTCTCTCTCTCTCTCTCTCTCTCTCTCTCTCTCTCTCTCTCTTCCTCTCTCTCTCTCTTCCTCTCTCTCTCTCTCTCAGTTGTTTAAGAGTGGTCAAGTAATATTAGTTATCTGATCAATATAGCCATCATTTGTTTCTTGTAAATTTATTTTTCAATTATGTTTATAATAAACATACTTTTAGTTCATAATAAAAGTCGTAATTTGCTACAAATCTTCGCTATAACATAGTTTAAAACTGCGCTGATGAAGTGCCATTAAAAATTATAAAATAATTTCTATTTAAAAAATAATTTAATATATCCTTGTTCTACTTATTAATGAAACTTTTTATGAATATCTGTGAATATCTTTATTACATTAACGAAGGTTTACGTAAAACCAATCTGTTATTTACTTTATTATTTACAAATAATTATTTTATTTTTAAGGAACAAAGGGAGAAAACAATATGAATGGGTCAGAGAGAGAAGTAGAGAAGGAAAATAGGGTGAGAGAGGAATAGGCAGAATAATTTGATTGGGGAGAAATGTGATAAAATATTTCGATGGGTGGGAAATGTCGAATGATTCATTAAGATCACGAGAATAATGGATTAGTGAAAACGAAGGGAATGCAAAATCACTAAGGGAGTTAGAAGAAGAGGAAAGGATGTAGAAAGCGTGGAAGAAAGGGGAAGAAGAAGGAAAGAAGGTAAAGGAAAGGAGAAAGTTATAAGCAGCTTTAGTTAATTATTTCCAAGAGAGACGCAATGTCTTCCCTCCACAGACCCAAGAAAAGTTTTATCACGACGCCGTAATGACATTAAGAAAAGTTATACCAAGACACCATCATATCGCCCTAAAA